CAGTGGTAGAGCCCCTGCCTAGAATCCCCCCATGAGGTGCTGGGGGCATGGCTCAGTGGTAGAGCCCCTGCCTAGAATCCCCCAGGGAGGGGCTGGGGGCGTGGCTCAGTGGTAGAGCCCCTGCCTAGAATCCCCTAGTGAGGGGCTGGGGGCGTGGCTCAGTGGTAGAGCCCCTGCCTAGAATCTCCCAGTGAGGGGCTGGGGGCGTGGCTTAGTGGTGGAGCACATGCCTAGAATCCCCCAGTGAGGGTCCAGGATATGGCTCAGGGATAGAGCACCTCCATGGGTGAGGTCCTGGATTCCATTTCCAGTACCAAGTGGAAATAGGTGAGGGAGAGGATGGCCCAACAACTCCAGGAGTAAGTTTTTCGAGGGAGGCGTAATGAGGCTGCAGACCAGTCAAAAAAGCCCATCTAACACCCACAGAAAGGAAGGCAGAAGTCTCTTCCTCCAGGCTAGTCTGTTGTCTTTCTGAAAATGCTCTAGGACAAGGACACCACTAGGAACCCCAGTTCTTCACTGTGTGACTGCTGAGACTCACTCTGTGCCCAGTCACAAGCAGGCTACACTGGACCTAGAGGGTATAGGAAGGGACAAGCACGGGTTGGCCCTCAAGGAGTCCCAGATGAACAATGTCAGGGTTAAATACTAGAGCCCTGTATCGACAAGTAGGACACCCCTCCCTTGCTGGAGTGCCATAGAGTTTCTGGGCTTTAAAACACATGATCTAGGTAGAAGAAATCAGGATGGGCTTCCTGGAAGAGCCAGCAGAACCCCAGGTCCAGAGTTAAGCAGCTGACCTGTCTTTCCCTTTCTCCACAGTGCCTGGATCCCTAGCTGCATCCAAAGCTGCTAAATATGGTGAGTGCTACACACCAACTGGTCCCCTTGTCACCCGACCAGCTTTGACAGTATAGGACTGAGCGGGCATGCTGAGGGACATCCGAATGACAGCCATCGTCCGACCCATTAACTCCGATGGCAGTCAAACACACCTGCTGTGCCTGACATGGTGGTACACACCTATAATCCCAGCTCTTGGAAAGTGGAGGCTACCCTTGGCTACAGGGAGAATCCAAAGTCAACTTGGGCTATAGTATACCCTATCTCACCCACAACGACTCAGATCTCCAAGCTCCACTCTGACCCTGACAGTTTCCGTGAAACAGAGGGAATGTCACTGATGCTGAGCCTACGAGGCTGGGCAGCTTCAGCCTCTGCTCTGCTCCGCCCTTTGGCCGAGGAGCTGTGGGGTTGTGGATATTCCTTGTGCAGGCATCCCCAGGCCTCCTCCCTCCTTTCCTGTCAGCATGACTTTGCCCAATACACGCCAGCCTGGAGGACGTGGCAGACCTGCCTGCCTTGCCACTTGGCACTCTGGCCAGACCCACACTGTCTGTGACCCCCACATTCCTGGCCTCCTAAAGATCCAGGCAGGGGGCCTCTGCCAGGGATGCGCCAACTGGCCACAATTTGTCTACTTGAGGCCAGTTTCCACCTCGGAAAATCCCATTCCTCAGCTACACACACACACACACACATACATACACACACACACACACACACACACACACACACACACACAGAGTCCCTGGTCACCCACAGCTTCCTCTCAGGTTCCTTGCCAGCTGCTCTTGGCCCTAGTCAACAGACTTTACCACTTTACCAGGGAAACACACAAAGGATCTCCTGGAACAGCAGCCACTGGGTCCTTTCCTGCCCTTAGGACCTCGAACACAGCATTCTGCTTAACCTCTCCTTTGCCTCAAAACTGGTATGACTGCCTGGCATGGCAGACCACACCTGTGAGGCCAGCTTTCCAAAGGCTGGGGAAGAAGAATCACAAGTTCAAAGGCAGCATGGCCTAAAGAGCAAGAGCCTGTCTCAGAAAAAAACAATAAAAAGAGAGATGAGTACTTGCCTGGAATCCCCAAGCAAAGGGCTTGAAGGTGTGGCTCAGTGGTAGAGCCCCTGCCTAGAATCCCCCAGTGAGGGGCTGGGGGCGTGGCTCAATGGTAGAGCCCCTGCCTAGAATCCCCCAGTGAGGGGCTGGGGGCGTGGCTCAGTGGTAGAGGACTTGCCTAGAATGCCACAGGCCTAGGTTGTGTTTCTGTCTTATCCCCCTAGTGTATAAACACATCTTTGAGAAATAGGGGTCTGAAGGCAGGCATGTTGGCACAGGCCTGTCATCCTAGCAGTCAGGAAGCTGAAATGGGACCAATAGATCATGAGTTCTAGGCCAGTCTCTGCAACTTAGTTAGACTGTCTCACTAGGAGAAAAGGAAAAGAAAAAAAGTAAGGGCTCGGGCCAGGCAGTGGTGGCACACACTTTTAATCCCAGCACTTGGGAGGTAGAGGCAGGGCGATTTCTGAGTTCAAGGCCAGCCTGGTCTATAGAGTGAGTTCCAGGACAACCGTGACTATACAGAGAAACCCTGTCTTGAAAAAAACAACAAAAAGGGGGGGGGGGACTGGAGAGAGGGCTCAGCAGTTAAGAGCACTGACTGCTCTTCCAGAGGTCCTGAGTTCAATTCCTGGCAACCACATGGTGGCTTATAACCATCTGTAATGGGATCTGATGCCCTCTTGTGGTGTGTCTAAAGACCTACAGTGTACTCACATACATAAAATAAATAAATCTTAAAAAAAGAAAAAGAAGCTCGGTGGTGGTGGCACACACCTTTAATCCCAACACTCAGGAAGCAGAGGCAGGTGGATCTCTGAGTTCAAGGCCAGCCTGGTCTACAGATTGAGTTCTAGAACAGCCAGGGCTATACAGAGAAACCCTGTCTTTAAGAAAGAAAAAAAAAAACAGAAAAACAAAAGCCAAAAGAAAAAAGTTCATATAGATAGATAGATAGAGATAGAGATATATATCACATATAACATATACCTATAAATCTCAGCACTTGGGAGGTAGAATCAGGAGGGTCAAGAGTTCAAAGCCATCCTCAGCTATGCAGAAAACCCAAAGCCAACATGAGCTATAAGTGATCTGGTCTTCAAACAACAAATGAAAATATGGGCACTGTCCCTTTGTCCTCTCTCCACAGCAGCAGGAGGTGGCCTTGGAGGGCCTGGAGGACTCGGTGGGCCTGGAGGACTTGGTGGGGCTGGAGGACTCGGTGGGGCTGGTGTTCCTGGTGGAGTAGCAGGTATGTTTTTGCTGTCCCAAAAATGGGTTGGCTGGAAATGGAGGCTGAGACCTCCAAGCAGTGCCTCCTTGAGTCCCTTGTGTTCCCAGGAGCTGCACCTGCTGCTGCTGCTGCTGCTGCCAAAGCTGCTGCTAAGGCTGCCCAGTATGGTAAGCGAGAGTTCAGCTTCCCTGACCTATCCCTCCGTCCATGGAGCCCAGCCACTTCCTAGCCATTAGGTAGCCCCGCCCCAGAAATGACGTAAGAGTTCAGGGATCCCTTGCCAACAGGGTCTTAATTAGAATCTCCTGACAGTGTGTGTAATGCGTGGATATCCCCTCAGGCCTTGGTGGAGCTGGAGGACTGGGAGCCGGTGGACTGGGAGCCGGTGGACTGGGAGCTGGAGGACTGGGAGCTGGAGGACTGGGAGCCGGTGGACTGGGAGCCGGTGGAGCAATCCCTGGTGCTGCAGGCCTTGGAGGTAAGGAGTAAGTGAGTGAGTTCTATGAGAAGGAGAAAGGAAAGAGGCATACGGAAGCCAGGTATGAAGACAAACACACTATCATGCCAGCACTCAGGAAGCTAAGGCAGGAGGATCATGAGTTTAGAGCTAACCTGAGCTACACAGTGAGGTCAAGGTCAGCGTAGGATACATTAGACTGTGTCTGAAAGCAATGGGGTAGAAAGCTTAAACAAGCAGGAACCCGGCTGCTCACTGACATAGAGGTACCAAACCCTATCTTCACCTCTCTCTTTCAACCCACCAATACCCCAGGTGACAGCTCATTGGCATACTATAGTCAGACCCATTTCTCAGACAAGAAAACACAAAGACTGGAGAGGAATTACGTCCCTAAAGTCTCAACCATCTTGGTGAATGTGTGCTTCTCTCTCTCCTCTGTCATTGTGCCCCCTTAAACTAGCATGCTTAGCACCACAAAACTAGACATATAATAGCAGCTTAATGTGTGGGGGCGTGGCTCACTGGTAGTGCACTTGCCTAACATCCCCCAGTGAGGGGCTGAGGGCGTGGCTCACTGGTAGTGCACTTGCCTAAAATCCCCCAGTGAGGGGCTGAGGGCGTGGCTCAGTGGTAGAGCCCCTGCCTAGAATCCCCCAGTGAGGGGCTGGGGGCGTGGCTCAGTGGTAGAGCCCCTGCCCAGAATCCCCCAGTGAGGGGCTGGGGGCGTGGCTCAGTGGTAGAGCCCCTGCCTAGAATCCCCCAGTGAGGGGCTGGGGGCGTGGCTCAGTGGTAGAGCCCCTGCCTAGAA